AGCTGCACCTTTCCTGGCAGTTCCTCAAATATTCATCCATTGAATTAAAGAAACCTTTGAGCTAGTTCTTTTTCTCTTGATTTAAATATGATGAAACTGAGGCTCAGAGAGAAGCCCCTCACCCCAATTATAAAGTCAGGATGTTTATAGTCCTTGCCCTGTCTTCCTCTAATTCCCCAGCCCACCCATTTTACAGATGGGGATGAGGGGGCAAAGCAAGGCTGAGAGCCAGCCCAGGAACTGGGTCACCTTATCCAGGGATGGGCCCTCTGCTGCCTGCCAGGTTTCCAGGCTGCCTCCCCGGATGGAGCTGGGGAACCCTGCCAAATTCTCTCTCCAAGCTTCCGGCATTCATTTACTCAGTGAATATTTATCAGCACCCACTGGGGACTTTGGTAGCACTGGAAACAGAGTCGCACTCTGGGCTTGAAACAGGGAGACCAAGGACTTATTGTATAATCTCAGCCAAATATGATAACTGCACCAGCACCTCCCTGTAGCTCCTCTGGCCTCTCTCCAGTCCTCTCTGGGGCCTTGGAAACCCTAAATCACATCCACCCCCACAGCTCTGCCTGCTGGAAAACCTGTTTCTGGCTCTCTGGAGCTCTTAGGAAAAACACCACTCCTCACCTGGCCTACAGGATGGTCCTGTCAGGCCTCTGCCCACCTGTCCAGCTGCATCCCCCTCCACTCTCCTCATCCCCATCCAGCAAAACTGGCCTTCTCCCTGTTCCTCAAATATTCTCACCTTATTTCCAACCACAGGGCCTTTGCACTGGCTGTTCCCTGGTCTTTAATGCCCTTTCCTCACATCTCCCCAAGGCTGGCCTCTTCTGATCATTTAGATCTCTGTTTAAATGTCAACTCCTCTGCTTCCCAGAGCACCTCCATGCCCTGTCATCTCTGGTTATTTATTTTAAGCATCACTCCTCTCTGAAATTTCCCAGTAACTGGCCTAAGCTCGCTCAGTCTTTGTGGAATGAGTGAATGCATACACTGTGAGCTGTCAGGAGAAAGGTATCCCAGTCCAGTGAACGCCTTGAGGACATAGGTGCCCCACTATAGAGGAGGCAGAATGGCTGGCACTAAGGGACAAATTAGGAAGTTACAAAATAGATAAAGAGGAAGGGCTTCCCTGGTGGCGCAGTGGTTGAGAGTCCGCCTGACGATGCAGGGCACACGGGTTCGTGCCCCGGTCTCGGAGGATCCCACATGCCGCGGAGCGGCTAGGCCTGTGAGCCATGGCCACTGAGCCTGCATGTCTGGAGCCTGTGCTCCGCAGCGGCGGAGGCCACAGCAGTGAGAGGCCCACGTACTGCAAAAAAAAAAAAAAAAAAAAAAAAAAAAAAAGAGGAAAAGTGGGTGTCTGGTAAGGAACAGTCAGGGCAAAGGCCTAGAGGTGGGTGAGGTAGAACTCGGCATGTCCCACTTCCTCTGCCTACATCTCCCACCCCAATCCCCTCACTCACACTCTGGCTGCATGACCTCCTCACTGCTCCTCACACATGCTGATTCCTACCTCAGGGCCTTTGCTCTGGCTGTTCTCACTGCCTGCAGTGCTTTTCCTTCTCATCTTAGCATTCTATCTTTCTCACTTTATTTCCATCTTTACTTAAATGTCACCTTCTTAGAGAAGTTTTCCCTGACTGCATCTCCACCTAAAACAAGGCCCACCCCATCCCTACCAAACTCTATTCCTCACATAGTTTGATTTTTCCTCCTTGCAAATTTTAATAAATTTGACTTTACTGTTTTCTTTCTTGTCTGACTTCACCAGGAAGATGTCAGCTCCCAGAGGGCAGGGATCATTGTCTTGTTCACTGTTGGGTCCCTGGCTCCTAGAACAGGGTCTAGCACACAGAAGGTACTCAAAAAATAGCTGCTGGATGAATAGATGGATGAACAAACCAGGTATCATAAAACATGGCTGGATTTTTTTTTTTTTAATTGCTGATGAACCTGGAGTAGAGGGAAGGCTCCAGATGTTGCAGATGGTGGGAGTGGAATTCAGACTTGACCCTGAGGACTGTGGGAACCACTGGTAGATTCTTAGAAGGGGAGGAACTGAGTGAGGGTTATCTCTCAAAAGATAAGGTTCTTTGCAAACCAAGTCTCCACCAGTCAAGGCCAGAGAAAATAAATGGGAGTAGATTCATCTGACACCAGAAGAACTAAATGTATCAACAAGGCTAAACTCAAAAACACCATGTGTGGGGGTCGGGGAGGGGGGATAAAAAAGCAAGTTAAAAAAATTATACAGTTTGATATTGTTTATATCAATTACTAAAAACCAGAAAGTGAAACTGTGTATTAAGTTTGTGGAATGTTCAGAGTAGCGGGCTTGTAGTATGCCTGGCATCCTGGCTGAGGCCCGCCAGGCTATCTGGGTTCAATTCCTGACACCACTGCCTATGAACAGTGAGATCCTGAGCAAGTTACTTCACTGCTCTGTGCCTCAGTTTCTTCATCTGTAAAAGGGGATGATAATAGTGGCGCATACCTCATAGGTTGCTGGGAAGCTTAAATGAATGAATTCTTGTAAAGCACAGAATAGGCGTTCAGTAACTGTTCAGTATCATTATTTTTATTGAGGATGTTTATTTGGTGGGGGAGGGGAGTGGAGTGAGGGAAGTGAACAGAAGTGACTTCCACTTTAATGATAAGGTGTTATGTCTTTTATTTTATTTTGATCGAGGTATAATTTACATATGGTAAAGTACACCAATCTTTTGGTGTGCAGCTCCGTGAATTTGTATATACATACACACCCCTGTGGCACCACCCAGGCCACTCGCCTGCTGCGTAAGTTTTACTTGTGTTCTTTCCCAGGTAACCTCCTCGTGTAGATTCTATCACCATAGACTAATTTTGCCTGTTCTCGAACTTCATACCTAATGGAATCATTTAAAATTTTTTTTAAATGTCTAGATTCTTTCACTCAATACATTTGTTTTGTTTTCTATTAGAATAAAATTCACACACCATAAAATTTACCCTTTTTAAGTGTACAGTCCAGTGATTTTTAGTATGTTTGCAAAGAATACGATGTTTTTGGTATTCATCCATAATGTTGTGTATATCAGTAGTTTATTCCTTTCTATTTCTAGTGTTATTCCATGGTGTGGATGGAGCACAGTTTCTTTATCCATTCATTTGTTGATGGACATTTCGGTTGTTTCCAGTTTGGAGCTCTTATGCATAGAGAATGTCCACTG